CAATGGAAGAAGGTACAAGACAGAAGTCAAAGACACAAAGATAGTCACCAATTTCTGGAGTACAAAGCAGCCGAATTTTTCACAGCAAAGGTAGCTACGTTTTTCTACTATTTCTCACACAAAAAAACAACTAGGGTAAATACGATATATATAGAGGAATCAGTTAGTCAGTTGGATCAAGAAAATGGTTAAATGGGCCAAGATCCAAGAGCCATCCAATAGGTAAATATTTGGGCCGTGAGTAACATTAATTCCTTAAATTACTTTCAACAGTCCATATTGTTTTCGGGTCGAACTTTTAGATTTGATTGTTGGTAATCAATTAACCATTAGTCGAATCCTATGAAACTATATCTCGACATTTTACATCATCACCCGGGATTTATTTGTAATAAAAAACCAACCCATCTTTTTCTATGTCTTCATCCCTATCTACATCACATCCAATACGAAAAATCCTCCGGAAATAATACCTCTTTTTTCGGATCAATTGAGAATTTGAATAGGTCATTAACCTCTTACAAAATTATCCCAAGTTATTATTTCTGAAAGAGTAATTATATTACCACTACAAAATTTATTAAGTGCACCACAAAATTTATTGTTTTTCTTATTTACTTAAATAGTCTTAAATAAAATTACATAATTAGAGTGATATTCTTTTAATTATTTACACCACATTATAATATCACAACAAACATAAACCTAGTTTCTTCTTCTTCTTCTTCTTCTTCTTCTTCTTCTTCTTCTTCTTCTTCTTTTCTTTTATTGCAAGTCTGTATCTGTCAAACACAAGTAAGAATTCATCATGGAAACTGATTTTCAAACTTAATGGAAGAGTCCATAAAATCAAACTTGATGGAAAATGATATGGAGAAAAGAGAAAATGGGGATTTGTTTGAAATGAAGGTGGTGATGCAACTGGGAAGGAGCCTATCACAGCTTAGAGATCTTGTAGCCTCTTCTTCAACAAAGTAGATGAGGAGTTTGCAAGCAAGCTTTTCTATTATTGCCACGCTTTTTACTTAGATGTTTAGCACCTATTTGCATTGAATCGAATTTGCTTCATAATATGCCACCGAATTACTTTCAATATATAATATGCCACCAAATTCGCTTCATAATGGTGGACAGTTGAACCATAAATCATTTGCTTGGAGTCATGGCCGCACTTAATAAAATTAAGAGAGATGTCTAAAAGAAGAGCAAAAAAAAGAAAAGATGAAGTTTAGTTGTGGTGTATTTATTAAAAAAAATGTATTAAGAATATGTTTTCTACATTTTTATTATTTTTTATTACATTAGGTATATGATTATTAATTTATCATCGTGTATTTATTAAAACTATGTTTTAATAGTGTCATGAATATAATGTGGTGTGGATATATCATTTTGTAACGGTAATATAATTACCTTAGTGAAAAAGAAATGGTCATCCAATTTGACCTCCAAAACCCTAGGATATAGCTCGTGAGTTTTTAAATTCAATTTCCAACTACTAGCTAGGTTGATCCAACAAAAATAGCCAAAACAAGCTAAGTTGAACGGATTTTACTATTCTTACAGCCTTGCTTCACATTCCGGTTCACAGCTTTTCAAATTTGCAGACGTGGCAATGCATAGTGTTAAAAAGATCCAAAGCTTTTTCCCTAGCCGCCCCCA